TTTTCCTGAGATCTTGGTGCTACATGGTGCCAAATGCACCATCTTGCTCAGTCTTTCTACAAAGACGACGAGCCCCGTCCTGCCTTTATGGTCAGGCGGTAAGCCAAACATGAAGTCCAAACTGACCGACTTCCAACAATCCGTTGTAATCGGCAGTGGCTTCAGTGGCGGACTGCTAGAAGGTGCAGGCTTATTGCGCTGACACTCTTCGCAAGAGCGAATATAGTTGGCCACCCACCGATATAGGTGGGGCCACCAAAATTCCTCTGACACTCGTAAGAATGTCTTTTCACGACCCAGATGCCCACTAGATGGCGCATCATGGCACTCGTGAAGTATCATTAGCTTGAGATCTGTGTCATGAGGGACATAAATTCTCAAGGGATCACAGGGTGACAGTTGATGCCATAACAGGCCATCACTGTAACTAAAGCGATTTAGTTTCGCTTTGAGGTGCGACGGAAGGGTAACCTTTCGTCCACCAACATGATCCAACAGCAGGCGACAATGTTCGTCCTGACTGTAACACTCCTTTATATCGGAGGCCATTGAGATCGTCACATGGTAGGCCTTCATGGCTGCCAATGTTGACGACTAAACTTGTGCTTTCGCACGAGACACACTTGACTGGTGTCTTGCCTCGAAGCCTGGTCTGCGCGATAACGCGTCAGCCAAGACATTCGACTTACCCGGCTTATATTCAACTTTGAAATTAAATTCAGAGAAGAATGTTAGCCATCTCGCCATCCTAAGCGACAGGTGCGGTGAGTTTATGAAGGTCCGCTGTGATGCGTGATCCGTATAAACTACAAAAGGTTCGGTGCCACCCGAAACTTTACACGAGCATACTTAATTGAAAGTAGCTCCTTGTCATGCACAGGGTAATTCAGCTCGGCAGCTTTCAAAAGCCGAGACTGATACGAAATGACACGGTCAACGCCGTTGTCATCCTTTTGCATGAGCGCGCTGCCGATTGCAAAATTGCTTGCATCGCAGACGACGCTTAAGAGCTTATCCGCGTCTGGCAATGCCAATACCGGTGCCTCTACAAGAGATTGCTTCACTGAAGTGAACGCATCTTCTTTCTTTTTTGAGCAAGTCCATTGTGTATCCTTTTTAAAAGGTCAGACAATGGCTTAGTCTGCTCCGCATCATTCTTGCTGTACTTATGAAAGTAATTAGCGAGCCCAAGGAATTGGCGCAGATCCTTCACATGACGTGGGCCTGGCCACTCCTTTACAACCTTTACCTATTCTGGGTCTGCTCGTACACCATGTGCACCTACGATGCAGCCCAGTACAGGTATCTCAGGGACCCCTATTACGCACTTTTGCAAGTTCACGTATAATTGGGCGTCACCCAGAGTCTGCAACACAGCGTCTAAATGACGCTTGTGCGACTCTATTGCACTCAGACCGTCCTCCGCCCTACTATGCACGAATACATCGTCAAAGTAATGGAGCGCGTAGGCACGGTGCTGACGCATCACGTGAGCCACTACTCGGTTGAATGTTGCCGGAGCATTTTTCAACCCTTGTGGCATCACAAGCCACTCCCACAGCATACCGCTTGGGGTGCTTACTGCCGTTTTGGCTACGTCAGTATCTCTCATGAGAACCTGATAGTAGCCATCCTTCAGATCCAACGCGGAAAAGATAGTTGACTTTCCCATGGAATTCAACAAAACATCTTTCCGCGGGATCGGCGTTTGAGCCGGAATGGTGGCCGTGTTCAGCTTATTGTAAGCATGAACCACGCGCCATCCACCTGTTCACAGAAGGTCGGGCTGCAGTGAGGCGACTTGCTCTCACGTACATGTCCCGCCTTAGCTCGCTTGTCGAAGAACTCATCGATGTAATCGACTTGTTCCTTCGGCAACGGCCATTGCCTGGTTACACAATACTTGGTGCCAGGCTCCAGGTCAATTTCGTGCCTGATGCCCCTATCGGCCGGTAGGCGGCTCGGCACTTCTGCTGGAAACACATTACGATGTTTCCACAGAACATCATAGAACGGGCTGTCCCTCAAGGCTTCCCAGCCTTGAGCAGCGAACCGTTTCTTTTTGTCGGTCTCCAAGATGCTCTCGTCCATTGTGGATGACGAGCAACAGTCCACCAAGTTCTCTTCTGGAACTGGTGCAACTATCTCGTGGATCTTTCCTTCCTTTAGTTCGGAAAGGAACAGATCCCACTTCATCTCCGAGAAACTTACTATCTCCTCGGCAGATGCCAAGACAAGTTGGAGCACCTCAACTGAGGATGCCTCCGGCATTTTGTCTTCGACGGCTTTGAACAACTCGTTCGTAGGTCCGTCCTCTTGGACCGACACTGATCCAAGGGTCACTCGTTTCGACGTGCCCTTGATCGTCTTAATACGTCTGGTGCTCGTTCTTCGAGTCACCACGACCTTTGAAGTGGAAGAAGGTGTCGTTGCTATCTCAGCTAACGCACTCCTTCCAACCGCACCAGGCTCTTGGCTCTGTACCGGTTCTTGTGGCGCTTGACTTGCTGTCAGCCCACCATCAACTGCCACAGGCTCTCGGCTCTGTGCAGGACTATTGTACGCATGACTATCTCTCATCGCCCCATTCACTACACCAGTCTTTTCGACCTGGGTAGGAATATGTGTCACCTGGCTTTCCGCCAGTGCACTTCCAACTTCACCACTCCTTTCGAGCTGGGTAGTTCCTGGTGCCGATTGACATATCGTCATCGCACCCTCGACTGTGTTGGACAAATCATCAGTCACATAAGCCTCTCGCAAGAGCACATCCTTTCCGGTGTCTTGCGTAGAGCTAGCGACTGTGCGTGTACGCCAGTCTATCCATGGTTGGTGTTTAGCCAACCAAGGCATGCCTAGGATAAGGTCATACGGACTCTCCATACCTAGCACTGTGAACTTCTCTTTACAAGAGAAGTCACTGAAACTGAAAGCGAGTTCAACTTGAACTCCCTCCGATTTAACGAGCGCGCTGTTCGCTAAACGAACGATCGCCTGTTCTCTCTTGCCATCCTGGCAAAGCGACTCATAACTCGCCGGTCTCCTTTTCATAGCCGCGAGTTTCACAAAGTTTTGTGATGCACCCGAATCCACGAGAAGGGTCATCACTTGGTCATAGCCTCGTACTCGAGCGCTATATACCAAAAGGGTTGGGGTCCGACCTTTCGGAACCTCAGGGACTATGCTACCCATTTGTTCGATCACTCTGAACTTCGGGGTAGCTTCAGAGTCCGCGACAGTAGGGCATCCCGCCCCTACTGCGCTCCCGCATTTCCCGAACCATCTTGGGCAGGTGCTGAACCCGTGCGTCGTGCACGCTGGTTTTTCGCACCTCCCTTGGGGTTGGGAGACCTTTTGCTGGCTGCCTTAGCACCAGCAGCTACTTTGGCATAGCAGCGAGCCATCATATGGCCGCGTTTGCCGCACTTGTAACAGATCACATCTGCATTGCCTAATTCCATTGGAGTGGCATCCGACCTCTCGGTCGACGGCCTGTAATAGGCTGTCGCCGAGGCGTTGTTGTAGGATTTCTCCTCAACTAAGGCAATGTCAATTGCCTCTTCCATCGTCGCTGGCACCTTTCTAAAAAGGACCTGACGCGATGAGTCGTGCCGTATTCCATTCATGAATGTAGGCACCTTACTGTGTTCCGGTATCAGACCCGCATTAATGGACGCCGACAGCGAACGCATCTCCTGCACAAATTCTTGCAGAGAGCGTTTAGCCTGTCGTGCTCCAAAGAAGCGCGCCATAAGCAACACTTCCTTGTTAGGCGGATGATACATGGCGCGAATCTTTGACTTAAAGATCGCCCATGATGGAAACGCATCAGCATTTGCCATCAGCGCAGAGTATGCGCACTCTGACGCTTTGCCACGCAAGTTGGACATGGCGTACGAAACCATTCTGGTGTCGTCTTCGATGAGCTGCGCCACTCCACATTGCTCCACTGCTAATAGCCAGTGAACAATCGTGTGAGGGCTAGTTCCATCGAACTTCGGAGGGTCCATCCGATTGGGCCTCGGTTAAGCAGGCCGGGCAGAGAGCTTCTCAACAGTTCTGTTGAGCGCCTCATTACGTGTTCGCTCAAGCCTAAGCTCATCCTGAGTCTTAGTGATGGACTCAGCGGTGGCTTGGCTTTTTACCTCGGACGCGTTTCTACGCTTTCCGAGCACAAACGCCTCAAATTGCTCCAACTAAGCAACATGTTGCTCAGGTAGACAATGCAAGAGGTTGACCAGGGCTTGTTCACCAAGTCCCTGCGCCATATGCTCTGCCAACTCCCTATGGTGTTGGGAGAGGTAAAAAAAATTAACCCAATCCACGTTGAGGGAAATCCGTATTCACACGCACGCTCAGAGAGACGGGTCGTGGGAAGGACTATTACTGCTACCAAGTTAGACGGGCACTTCTGCAAAGTTGTCTCGTACTAATTAGCGCACACCTTCAGCACAAGCCGGAAGCGGTTAGGCCGTCTTACCTTAGCGTGCGAGGGTGGATGTGTGGTTAGTCGACTGCTTAAGCAATCGTACCACCAGTTACCTCTTGCTTAAGCGAGAGTGCAACGAACAGCTATTAAGTATCCTACTTACGTCACGCAGAAGCTTTCTCAGCTTCTCGTGCGCAGTATGTAGTAAATTCAAGACTGAGTTATATTCAATAAATTATAATTAAATATAAACTTAACTACTGATTAGCTAATTATGAAAAGATCGGATACGCGACTCTTTAGAAGTGTATCCTGTCGCATGAACTTAAATGTAGGTTTAAGCTCGCTAATGACGTCCTTCTGGGATGTCGCGATGCCTAGCTTCAACTAGCGTCATCCCTTCCCATGTGAATCCATAAAAGGATATCACATTCACGAGGGTGGATCACGTTTGTGTATCGCACCCAAGTGACAGGTCAAAAGTAATCATGGATACTTTTAGACTTACATTAAGTATATTACTTAATGTTTACGTGTTACTAGATACCCAGTTACACTTATCATCGTTACCCTAAAGCTCATCCTTCTCCGCTTCCAAGTTCTGCTTGTACTCCATCACGTCATTCAGCGTTTTCGCACTAGCTTTGGTAATCGCGTCATCTTCGCCGTATATCTTGACTGCAATCCTGTGCGCATGCTCCAGCAACTTTATCGCGTCGTCCACCTTCTTCTGGCGCATCTTGACACCAGCCAAAGCGTTCAAACTAAACGCGTACGTCAACGTTTCTTCGCCATCACGCTGCAAGAAGATAGCACTCGCCATTTCGCCTGCTTTACGCGCCTCATCAATCTCTTTAATAGTCAAATGTGCCGTCGAAAGTTCCATATAGAGTTCTGCCATCCCTGTCGTAAGCCCATTGATCTTGTCCCCTTGAATCTCCACGGCGTCCTTGAGCACCTTCAAAGTTTGCTTCTTCTTGCCCAATTTCTTGTATCCTTCCGCGATTTTCAACGACGTTTCAATGTACGCTTCGTGAGTCACTCCAAGTCCCTCTTTAATATGTTTTCGGAGAGTTTTATACTTGCCAATAGCTTTACTGTACTGCTTCTTGGCCATATGCGCATCAGCCAAGTTGCGTAATGATAGCCCAAGAGAGGGGTGACTGTCTCCGTAGATCTTCTCCACCATAGCGATTGAATCTTCTAGCACCACAATAGCTTCGTCGTATTGTTTCGCTCGAATTAGGACCGACCCGTAGTCATTCAGAATCTGAGCATACAGAGATGCATCTTGAGAAAGGATCTCAGGGTCCGTAATGGCGTGACGATCTTCACCGAACACTCGTTTGTGCAACAGAGTGATAGCTCCACGTAGCTTTTCAATAGATTTCTTGAAATTCTTCGCATCGTTGAGCTTCATTCCAGAATTCCGTAAACCTCGGACTTTTTGGATAACGGGGTCGTCATCTCGAGCAGTCGTGGCGGACGAGGGCTCCGGTTTCTTCTCTTCCTCATTTGCAGCGTATACAACGAGGGAAAAAGCGAGGGCGAGCAGAAATGCCCACAGGAATGTCACACGTAGCATGCGCATAATATCCACAAAATGCAAGATTCGGATATGCCACGTAAGTGTAATTTAAACGGTTTTTTATTATTGGAGGGCTACATTTTGTTATGGGAAGCGTGAGATGGCCACATTTCCAAATTTGTCCAATTTTAATTGGTCAGAATGGTTTTTAACCTTTTATGAGGAGAAAGAGGTCGTCGATACATCTAACGCTACCCTTTGTTTTTTTTCAATGGGTAAGAGAAAGAGTCCGAAAAAGACATCGAGTTTAGGAGGTGCTGAAGCGACGAAAGTGACGTCAGATGATGAAAAGAAAAGTGTGATGAGGATTGCAAGACTATTTATGACAATGCAGAAGAAAGGTGTAGTTTGGAATAGACGAGAACGCGAGGGAATCAAGTTGATTGAAGGGTTCCAGTCGGCACTGTTGGCTCTTCGAGATGCTCAAACGGTAGCGCCCATTGCAGCTGATAGAGAAAAGGAGAAAGTGGAAGCAGTTGTACAGGATAAAGTGGTAAGTAATGTGGTACATGATCCGTGGCTGACGGAGGACTTGTACCAAGAGATACAGAAGCTGTCGAGTGGGTTCGAGGAATTGTTGGAGGAAATGTGCACGCTGCAAGTCCAGGCGAGAGAGATCGGTACGTGACTCTCAACAATGAAGTGCAAAAGCAGCTGGGGAACTCATGTCGATCGTATTGATAGTGCTGGGAAGGAAGGATGACGTTGACCAGCAAGTCGAAGCGACGCAATTGAGACCCGTAGACTACCTTCAGATGATGAGTCAGGAGCTGGCGACGTTTGAAGCAGAGTATCAGCACATCGTACGGTGGTTCAAGATGCTGCAAGATCTGCAGTCATTACTGATAGTGTTGCGGTTTGTTGATCTTTGCAGGAAGCGCTGCTGAGACTCATCTCGTTTGAGACTTCTACGGACGAGCTGCGCACTCTCCTCATCTCGTGGAGTACCTCACCCTTCCTTCATCCAGATCAGACTCGTCACTTTCTTCAGGTATCGTTGAATCCCTATATAGGTTTGCATCTTATCCGTCGTATTCGTTCCCTGACACGTATTTCTCCCAACCACAGCGTCACTTGCTTTCCAACCAACTGCACACATAATCGACAAGGAGACCAACGCAACAATAGACACTTATTTCCAGATACTATAACGCATTTGCCATACTCTTAGCTATTACAGCTTAACGGTATCTTTCACCTCACTTAGTCGTGACAAACTGCTCGCATAAATCGTTTACATCTTCTAAACACAAACTCGACACGAAATCTCTCTGAGTCTGCAGCATCACACAATCACAACAAGGTACGAAACGTCATACTCTCTACGTTAGTCTCCTCTCCCCCCCCCCCTCTCCTTTTCTTAGTAAGTCACGCATCACCTTTTCAAGCTGTTGCTGGATCTTCGCCGCCTCCTGGGACGAGAAATACGGCGCCAGAAACTTCTCCAGCGCATCCTCTAGCGAGTCCAATGGATTGATATCGCAATCACATCCTGCAGGGATGAAGATACCCGAGCTTCTAGGCGTCGTCGTCTCCTCGTCGTACTGCAAGTGTCAGTTATACAATTTCACACGAAATTGCATCAGTTGGTTACGAAGGCTACAGTAACCCTTCGAACGCCGCAATTGCAAGCAGCAAACTGCTCGAAACATTGCCAAGACAGTTACGTACCATGCTATTCCATTGCACGCGGCAGTGCGTCTTCTTGCGCACCACTGGGTAACGTTCCAGCATGCGACGGAACTCGCTCTCGTCCATATTCCTAGAAAATGCTCGTGGTTAGTATACAGGGTACACTCTTGATAGCAAACCACAGCACCGAAACGTAACCTATTTGGCGGAGGGGTTACACGTACATCATCATCATCAATTGTCAACTGCCATTCATTTTTCGACCATAATGTCAGCTACGACTTCGTCTCAGACCGATGAGCGGCTACTATTTGCTGTGCCCAAGAAGGGGCGTCTACATGACAAAATCCTTAAGCTACTACAGGGTGCGGGGCTGGACTACTACCGCCCGAATCGCGTAGACATTGCACTTTGCTTAAGTCTTCCAGTCACGCTCGTCTTTCTACCAGCGTCTGATATTGCCACGTACGTAGGGGAAGGAAACTTGGACCTTGGTATTACTGGTCAAGACATCATTGCAGAGAGCCGGACTAAGGTGGATGAACTTATGCAGCTGGGCTTTGGATGCTGCTCTCTTGGTGTCCAAACGCCGGTACAGGACGCCATCGCGTCACCAGAGCTACTGGCGGGCAAACGTATCGTCACGTCGTTTCCAGAGGTGACGCGGGCCTATTTTAAAAGGTTTGAGACGGAGACTACAGGCCCTACTAAAATCAAGTATGTATCTGGCTCGGTCGAGGCGGCATGCTCACTCGGATTGGCGGACGGTATCGTGGACTTGGTGGAAACGGGGACGACTATGAAAGCCGCTGGACTGGAACTCATTTCGACAATTATGACCACGGAAGCGGTGCTGATTGCTAATCCACATTCGAAGCAAAAGAAGCTGCTGCACAAAGTGCACCAGCGCATTCTGGGCTACATCACAGCCACCAAGTACAGGATGGTGTCGTACAATGTGGACAAGGAAAAGTTTGAGGAAGCGTTAAAGATTACACCAGGACGATGTTCTCCTACGGTGAACGGACTGGTAGGTGGAGGCTACGCTGTGTCTGCTATGGTGGAGGTCAAAGACGTGTCCGACGTCATGGACCAGCTCCATGACGTCGGTGCCACGGACATCATGATCTTTAACATTGAGAACTGTCGTGCTTAGATGATCGACTTTTGGTCTGGTAGTATAGATTATTCAACAGCAGTTGTTGTGATGGTCAAATACAGCATTATAGCTGACTACATTATCATCGGATAATGTCACCTACTATGACCTAGAAATTAACGCGTGATGTCGGCAGGAATGACACTTACGACCACCTGAAGGTAGTATTCTCGTGGTAGGATGCAATATCGTCGAATTACTGGCAGAGCATTAAACGGATCTAGGCTATTGCAAGGAAACAATAAGAACTTTAGCTGCGGATTCTCGGTGTCCATTCGCGAACCAACGCGTTTATAACCGCCACGACAAAAGTCCGTCTTTCACGGTGTTCATCAGTTTGCTAGTTGCGATGTTGTCAAGTTGTCTCGACCACCTGTTCCGCAAATCTTGCACATTTGAGCTTTTGAGATTATCTAGATGGCTGATCCACCGACGCGGACTTCGTTTTGTCGCGATGGTTTGCCACCGTCAGCTGCTTTTACCGGTTGTTGCGATGGCGAACAATGTTTTCTAGGAGTAGTCATTTATTGTTGTTGCTTCAGGCGCTGTTGTCAATGTAATGGGTCACACGACAAATAGATAATTATCCAACATTACAGATAACCGTTTATAATACATAAAATGCATCTTGCATACTGCCATCTAATGAAGGATTTGGCATATTATAAGCTATTATTTATAGTGGTTAGTCTATTGCAGGGTACTTATATGAGGTTTATTCTCGTAAGTCATCGAGTCAAAGCCATTATAGGGCTTGTTGTCTAGTGCACCTTGTGCGTTTGATTATCGGAACTTTAATCTGTAAAGCTCGATAAACTGTAAAGCTTGCTTTCCCTCCAACTGATTCCCAATTGATTAAGTTCAGCATTGGCTCGAGTAAACCGAGAAAAGTGCTCCTGCCTTACCAATAAGTACACAGACTATATATAAAAGTTGCACGGAAACGGTGTACTTTCTTCGGTAGTCGGTTGTGCGGGCGCCACTGGAGAGGTGGGGTCACATCATGAAATTTGAGACTACCACTCCAACACAGATCGAAGAATTAAATGGCGATTAGCGCCGCGATGCCCATGTGTCGAGCTCATAAATATGAAACATGGTAAGTGTGTTGCACCTTCTTACGCCCAGCACTCAAAATACCTCGTCATTTATATTGTGTTAAACCCAATAGATGAACACAAGCAGGTCACTGTGCTCATCGAGGATTCTGCGGATGGTCTTGTTAAGACCTACCTGTCCGCATGGAATGATGCGCTTACCTAAGCGATCTAAAAGTGGAACAGGAGGACATAAACCTGCAATAGGCTCATATCCACTCGCGATCCTATCATCCTCAGAGACGACACGAGGTCTGACGTCTGAAGCAATGAACATCTCCTTTGTAGAGAGAGAGCGACCTCGCTCTTCAGCATACAAGCGATTATAAATTCTGATCGCTGTTAAAAGATATGTTACTACGCTTATGAGTGTATTGCCCTTTTGTTACACAACAAGTCTGCCAAGAAAGTTTAAAGACGCGGGTTGCACCAACATAATAAGCCATGAAACTTGTCGGGGTCAGTGAGAGCGGAGCGCTTTAATAATCATGTAACGCCGTATAAGTATGCGAGACGAAAGTTTTTTTCAACACACAGTCATTTTTTGACGCTCGTAGTGATGAGGTAATCCAAATTACCTTCAAAATTAATGTAACAAAAGATGTAACAGGGCATATAGTTACACGCAAACATTAAGTAATATACTTAATGTAAGGTCTAAAAGTATCCATGATTACTTTTGACCTGTCACTTGGGTGCGATACACAAATGTGATCCACCCTCGTGAATGTGATATCCATTTATGGATTCACATGGGAAGAGATGACGCTAGTTGAAGCTAGGCATCGCGACGTTCAGAAGGACGTCAGTCGCAAGTTTAAATCTAGATTTAAGTTCATGCGACAGGATACACTTCTAAAGAGTCGCGTATCCAATCTATATACATATATAGCCAATCAGTAGTTAAGTATATATTTAGTTATAATTAATTAAATATAGCTCAGTCTTGAATTTACTTAAACAAACGCACCACGCACGAAAAGTTGAAAGACTTCTGCGTGACGTCGGTGCTTTAGTGTTAAGAAGCTCGTTGCACTCTCGCTTAAGCGAGAGGCAACTGGTGGTACGACTGCTTAAGCAGTCGACCAATAACAAAACCACCCTCGCACGCGAAGGTAAGACGGTCTAACCGCTTCCTCGCTTGTGCTGAAGGTGTGTGCTAGTAGCACGAGGCAACTTCGTAGAAGTGCCCGTCTACACTTGGTAGCACTAGTAGTCCTTCCCACGACCCCTTTCTCTGAGCGTGCGTGTGGTTAAGATGGTCGGTCCTAATATGGACTGGAGTGACTTCCCTCACCTCTCCCAACATCATAGGAAGTTGATAGAGCATATGGCGCAGGGACTTGGTGGTCAATCTCTTGCATTGTCCTCCTGAGCAACATGTTGCTCAGTTGGAGCAATTCGAGGCGTTTGTGCTCGGAAAGCGTAGAAACGCGTCCGAGGTAAAAAGCCAAGCCACCTCTGAGTCCATCACTAAGACTCAGGATGAGCTTAGGCTTGAGCGAACACGTAATGAGGCGCTCAACAGAACTGTTGAGACGCTCTCTGCCCAGCCTGCTTAACCGAGGCCCAATCGGATGGACCCTCCGAAGTTCGATGGAACTAGCCCTCACACGATTGTTCACTGGCTATTAGCAGTGGAGCAATGTGGAGTGGCGCAGCTCATCGAAGACGACACCAGAATGGTTTCGTACGCCATGTCCAACTTGCGTGGCAAAGCGTCAGAGTGCGCATACTCTGCGCTGATGGCAAATGCTGATGCGTTTCCATCATGGGCGATCTTTAAGTCAAAGATTCGCGCCATGTATCATCCGCCTAACAAGGAAGTGTTGCTTATGGCGCGCTTCTTTGGAGCACGACAGGCGAAACGCTCTCTGCAAGAATTTGTGCAGGAGATGCGCTCGCTGTCGGCGTCCATTAATGCGGGTCTGATACCGGAACACAGTAAGGTGCCTACATTCATGAATGGAATACGGCACGACTCATCGCGTCAGGTCCTTTTCAGAAAGGTGCCAGCGACGATGGAAGAGGCAATTGACATTGCCTTAGTTGAGGAGCAATCCTACAACAGCGCCTCGGCGACAGCCTATTACAGGCCGTCGACCGAGAAGTCTGATGCCACTCCTATGGAGTTAGGCAATGCAGATGTGATCTGCTACAAGTGCGGCAAACGCGGCCATATGATGGCTCGCTGCTATGCCAAAGTAGCTGCTGGTGCTAAGGCAGCCAGCAAAAGGTCTCCCAACCCCAAGGGAGGTGCGAAAAACCAGCGTGCACGACGCACGGGTTCAGCACCTGCCCAAGATGGTTCGGGAAATGCGGGAGCGCAGTAGGGGCGGGATGCCCTACTGTCGCGGACTCTGAAGCTACCCCTAAGTTCAGAGTGATAGAACAAATGGGTAACATAGTCCCTGAGGTTCCGAAAGGTCGGACCTCAACCCTTTTGGTTTATAGCGCTCGAGTACGAGGCTATGACCAAGTGATGACCCTTCTCGTGGATTCGGGTGCATCACAAAACTTTGTGAAACTCGCGGCTATGAAAAGGAGACCGGCGAGTTATGAGTCGCTTTGCCAGGATGGCAAGCGAGGAGGCGATCGTTCGTTTAGCGAACAGCGCGCTCGTTAAATCGGAGGGAGTTCAAGTTGAACTCGCTTTCAGTTTCAGTGACTTCTCCTGTAAAGAGAAGTTCACAGTGCTAGGTATGGAGAGTCCGTATGACCTCATCCTAGGCATGCCTTTGTTGGCTAAACACCAACCATGGATAGACTGGCGTACACGCACAGTCGCTAGCTCTACGCAAGACACCGGAAAGGATGTGCTCTTGCGAGAGGCTTATGTGACTGATGATTTGTCCAACACAGTCGAGGGTGCGATGACGATATGTCAATCGGCACCAGGAACTACCCAGCTCGAAAGGAGTGGTGAAGTTGGAAGTGCACTGGCGGAAAGCCAGGTGACACATATTCCTACCCAGGTCGAAAAGACTGGTGTAGTGAATGGGGCGATGAGAGATAGTCATGCGTACAATAGTCCTGCACAGAGCCGAGAGCCTGTGGCAGTTGATGGTGGGCTGACAGCAAGTCAAGCGCCACAAGAACCGGTACAGAGCCAAGAGCCTGGTGCGGTTGGAAGGAGTGCGTTAGCTGAGATAGCAACGACACCTTCTTCCACTTCAAAGGTCGTGGTGACTCGAAGAACGAGCACCAGACGTATTAAGACGATCAAGGGCACGTCGAAACGAGTGACCCTTGGATCAGTGTCGGTCCAAGAGGACGGACCTACGAACGAGTTGTTCAAAGCCGTCGAAGACAAAATGCCGGAGGCATCCTCAGTTGAGGTGCTCCAACTTGTCTTGGCATCTGCCGAGGAGATAGTAAGTTTCTCGGAGATGAAGTGGGATCTGTTCCTGTCCGAACTAAAGGAAGGAAAGATCCACGAGATAGTTGCACCAGTTCCAGAAGAGAACTTGGTGGACTGTTGCTCGTCATCCACAATGGACGAGAGCATCTTGGAGACCGACAAAAAGAAACGGTTCGCTGCTCAAGGCTGGGAAGCCTTGAGGGACAGCCCGTTCTATGATGTTCTGTGGAAACATCGTAATGTGTTTCCAGCAGAAGTGCCGAGCCGCCTACCGGCCGATAGGGGCATCAGGCACGAAATTGACCTGGAGCCTGGCACCAAGTATTGTGTAACCAGGCAATGGCCGTTGCCGAAGGAACAAGTCGATTACATCGATGAGTTCTTCGAAAAGCGAGCTAAGGCGGGACATGTACGTGAGAGCAAGTCGCCTCACTGCAGCCCGACCTTCTGTGAACAGGTGGATGGCGCGTGGTTCATGCTTACAATAAGCTGAACACGGCCACCATTCCGGCTCAAACGCCGATCCCGCGGAAAGATGT